AACGTAAAATAACAATGCATATTAGAATAAACATAAGAGAACATATACTGGTATCATTTTAGCATAGTTCTTAGCTATCTAACGGTGCGTTTTTCATTGTCACAGTTTTCAACTAAAAATACAAACAAACCGATTTCCTTTTTACTGTAGTATAGATAGTACCATACAAAGGTTAATGACCGTTAAAATTGTAAATGCCCTTTTGCATTAGTTCAAAAGGTAGCCGTTTAACATAAACGTATTAGTATTAACTTATCCCAAGTTTACCTTTGGAAATACATTTACGCTGTGCAATAAACCCCATAAAGGCTTTTATAATTACGAAGAGTGTGTGGAAATCCTTGTACAATATTTTGGAGTACTTAATCTTTCGAGGGATAAGATGCTGGTATACGTTCATAACTGAATAAAAATACTTTTATATTGTAAAATATAAAAGTCCGGAAAAATATTACGATTGTAGATTAGCAAAAAGTATATATTATAATAATTGCATTTGTTTAGTGTTTTCGGGTAACTTAAGCGTGTGTTTCCATTGGCGAAACGCCGATATCGTACGTTATTTTATCATATTTTTTTTCAAAGCGAATAAGAGAGATAATTTTTACAAGTGTAACGGCAGTGGATATCTTCGGTGAAAATTTAAGAACGAGTGCACTTCACTTATCAAAAATAATTCAATGATCGATGATAACAATATCTTATCAATGACAGAAGAGCTATCATGAAAAATTCAATTGCAATGTTTTCTATTTTGCATATTTAAATAAATTAGTGATAAATCTCTACATAAAATTGGGGTCTCTTGTTATATTTGTTTGTTTTTTAAGCGTGGAATTTAAAATACAGAATTAATTGTCCTTTTATATTGTTCCTTGCCTCTAAAGCGACATGATAATGCATAAATTAAGGTGCATAAAAAGAATATGACAAATGTAAACAGTGTGACCTAAATCAAGGAAAGACAAAAGATTGCGTGAAAATTGACATGATTATGAAAAGACGACAACAGAAATGACGGAAGATACATTGATCTGGAGGACGAAAATTTGGTACATCAACACTACTCAAGTACAATAAGGACAGGGTCCATTTTGTGGGAGAAAAACGGCTATGTCAATCTATAGATTTAGGAAAGACACGTATTTTTGTGGGCCTAGCACGACAATTGTCATAATTAGTATAAGATTTTTGTTGTACTTTAATATTTAGCCCGATACACAAAGTTTGATACAAATTTCGTCAATGACAATACGATGACGACTATCACAAAGACTCATGCTAGGTCCACTGATCCTATTTCTAATGTATTATGTACATTGACTACGCAATATGTAGACATTATAAAAGTAAAGAGCGACCGTGATTAAACGTATATATGTTTACCACATCTAGCAAACGAAAGTGTTAATAGAAAACGCAACCACAAAACTAAAAGCTATTGAAAAATTTCCAAGTCACGATGTGTGCGGGTAAACGCAATGTCTCTTTGTTTCTTCGAAGAGAGTGCACAAAGCAGTTCAGTCGCGTGGTGACGTTACAAAGCTCATACTGGTTTCTCCTTTTTCGATATTAAAGCTACTAAGGAACACATCGACATTACATTGTTAGTCTGTACACAGTACATGGAAAATACAGACTCCACTTGTAATCTTCTGTATCGTGATGATGATTTTTTTATCACATGATAAAAAAAACAACACCAGGAGAAAAATACACCAGGAGATGGCACCAGTATGTGCCAAGTCTTCGGTTCATCTCGAAATGTTCGCGTAAATACGTATTAGTTTTCAACGAAGACATCTTGATGTTGACATTATAACCTCATTTGTAACTTTTAATTGGATATAAACATTAGCATAAATCCATGACTTGGCCCTATACAACTTCTTCATATCATACTTAGATATCTATCGTAATAAGAAAACATGTTTTAATTTGATTAAACTCTGGTCGTTTAATCTGTTCCCATTGTACGGGGCCGAGGCACGATGGCGTGAAAGAGTGACGTCACACGTGAGTCAGCTGCGCGCAGATGTGAGCGTGGCATTGTTTGTACGTTTTAACGACGAGACCGTCCGCATGTGTGGCGTGGCCCTACGCGTCAAAGAAAACGAAACGGGCATTGCTCCGAGCGGGAATCACTAGTAAATCCAGTGGCGCCTTTTAAGGGTCACTTAGTGTGGACATCGCTATGTCTACTCGATTTGATATAGTTGAAAGAGCACATTGAAAACATTTTAAAGTAGATTCGTCTGCTCTTCCTGTTTATAAAATAGAGACTAACTACAGCAGTCGTTAAGTGGTCTTCCAATCCCAAAGTGTACATTTAGTATAAGTAACCTAACCGGAGGGACTACCTTAGCGCTAAATTAACTACTCTGGGTGGGATAGTCCGCAGCAAAAAGAACAGAAAAGACTCGGCACTCAACTGTTTATTTTCTATCAAGAGTATATAACTTTATTGCACATAGAATAAAGATAATCCTTAGAAGACAATAGCTAGACCGACTACCAGGCTACCATAAATATCGTGAAGTGTAAGCGATTGAAAGCGAAAGTCACAATTGAGCTATTTTTGGCGAACTAGCCTTATAAGGTAACCACGTCGTAATCCTCTTCCGTTCTTTGGACTACTTAACTGTATTGTTGCTTCCACCAACACGCAAAAGATTACAATACAATGGCAATATTTTATTAATAAAATACAATTAAATGATATAACTATGAATAAAACAGTCACAAAAATTATGAATATTGTTCGTAAAACTCGCAGATAATTTCGCGAATACTTCTTTTCTTCTAGTACTTATTAGATTCAAGACTCTGAATTCTCTCTTTCCATTTTTTATTACAATTCACGACATTTTTATTTACGTGATTAGTAGAAAATCTATTGCTTTGCAATTATCATATTTTACCATATACGGATTAATGGAGAGAAACAAATTCATGAGGCATACATTAATATGGTTTTTACGATAATTTGTTTGCAACAACTGTTGAGATCACGCGAGATAATAAACTACAGTCTACGAGTTAGGTGTGGCCTTGTCACCTGTTTGACCGGAACTTTAATACAAAAAAATCTGTTACATTGCAATTTTTAGATAGTTTTTCTATACTAAAAGTAAAATAAGGAAAAAAGTCGTGCAAAAAAGGAAAAACAGCGAACAAGCGAATAACACTGCTATAACTACATTCAAAAACATATAAAATAAGCGAATAACACTTAATACTGATGTCGCATAATTCTTTTGTTGATAAACGTAATATTATATTACTTTTTATTCGTAAACTATTTTCGTAACCACGGTTAAGTGGTTAGTTATCTATATCAATGTAAGTAATAAATGTTTATATCTTCGTGCTCTATTTATCAATTAAATTGAAGTTTTTGTAATCAAACCACACCTGTTACTTTGTTATGCACCTTTTGTAAATTGAATCAAACATGTTAACCTGTTTCAATTAAATTTGATTCTTTATTTAATGCAATTATTTAAAACTTAGCGGCCAGTAACTTGGTGTGCATGAATAAAAAAAAACTAGCCTATGCACTATTCTAGACTAACAAGATCTTGATAAAGACAAATTTCAGGAACATGGTTACAACAACAAAGATCCATTCCTCCAAACCTTCACTTTTGTAATATTAGTATGAAGTGGTTCTCAGCCTACATGTTCCATGCGGGTTGGCTGCACACATATCTTTGAATTTCATAGCAGATAATTGCTTCCATCACAATGATTTCCTTCTTGCAAGAATGTCAGATAAATGTCTGAATTTGTAAATTTAAAATTAAATATAACAGAGAACCCTCCATAAGGAGAAGAACTGGATGATGATGCCGACTTGAATTCAAAATAAACAATATTTGTGGATAATTGTAAGGCCCTTATAAGGTATCTTATATTGCCTTATTTACTGCTTAATACTTTAATTGTTAAACACTTTAAAATATAAAATTACTTGGACATAAATTTATTTTAGTTATGTAAAGAAAAATAATAATAATTATTCATCCAACCTTCTCAATGCTTTCTCTAAAGTTGTAAACAAAATAGTCACACATACAACAGTTTAGTTGTTAAACCTATGAAACACATGTCCCTATTGAAAACACAAACAAAGATTGTTGAATTAGTCTGACTATTTACAAACTGTTTAACAAGTTAATAGTCCCCTTCTGACCATTTAAATGACTAAAAAAATGCTTATAAACTAAAACTAAAAATAAGGATTAAGCTTAAATACTTCCTTCCTTCTTAACGCTGTATACAGAGTCAGCAAAACAGATTAAGATAAAATAATGAAATTATTTCAGAAGTTTGTATGTATGTATTTCCTTTTTATTATAATTTAAATATTTCACTATTTTTTCACTAAATAGTTTTTTTTTGTTCCAATCAAATAACTACGGTAAAAATTCATTATTAGCAGAGAAATAGTAAATACAAGTATTATTATTAAATCAAATGGCATCCTTTATATCACATTTATTTTTTTTACTTATAAAATTACATAATTAAGTAACAAATATATCACTAAAAGTTAATTCTATAGCAATACTTGAATATATGATGATTTAAACTTGATTTTATAAAATACAAACCCAATAAGAATTTCAAAATATTAAAAGTAACGCTCAATATGGCGTTTTCTTCTTACCAAAATTAATGGTATCAAGACGCTTTTTTTTTAAATGACTAACAACTAAAATTAAAAGTTTGGATATAAATGTTCAAAATATAAACATTGACAGCTACTCAGTTTAACTTGCAATCAACTTTTGTAATTGAATTTTATAATGTAAGGGTTTGAATCAGTGAAAACTCGAACTTATAAAAAGCCATAAATTCACGGTCAAGCGGAAAACATTTTTTAAAACAAATTTGTTGATTTGTTAGTACTTTATTTCTCACTTAGATTAATTTTTAAGCTATTGTGATGATAACAATTTAATATAAAAGGGGATAAATATCGATCATACACTCACCACAACAAGACAGCCGGCGAACTTGAAATAACCGCACCGATTCCCGATTTTTGACCACGTTTCTCACAATGTTGTTCACTTGAATACACTAAAAAGCACTTCACTAAAGTAAAACTAGATAATCATAGAAATAATCAATTTTTTAAGTCACGAAACGAACAAAATACACAATGTTTTCACGGAGAACAAACGGTCGCAATTCACACGAACATCCACTTTCGGTGGCAGAAATTTACTGTCAGACTGATTCGGCCAACGAGCGTTGCCTGTATTGACTTCGACGATTCGAGTTTACGTTCGTTATAGCCTTACTAAGTTGTAAATCCCTTTATAAACTTTGCTGGCTTATAGTCGCCATAACATTCTATTTTAGTAGGGTTATGTAAAAACGTTGATTCCGCCACCTAGTGATAGCGATTGTTACTATCATGAAATTATTTCCTCCCATAGAGCGACATCTGTTTTGAGTCGATAAACCTATTTGTAAAACAGCGCCATTGCTCCTTTGATTTCTTTCTTGAGATTACGTTTTAAAATACGAGGCCTAGATGTCGTATTGTTTATAAAAACTTTCTTAAAAAAGGAGTCATGAATTTTCATCATGAAAATCTTAAATCTAGTACATCCATAAATAAATTATATTACGTGCAATGATTAACTTTGTAAAGCTATAAAATTGAAGCGGAAGCATAATTAAAGAGACATGATTATGACTAGACTGGTAAATGGCAAGCATTCAACAAATAGAAATCTAAACTATGTCTCAGCTATGTAGCTTCATAGGCATCAGTTGTCAAACTAATGTTAGTTTGACAACTGATGCCTATGAAGTATCGAATTAATTTTGTATGTGGACTTATGATGTACTTAATAGACAGTTGACATAGTGTCGGAGAAGGCACAGGATAGGTGACTTTGGCGATCTCCTGTGTCGGAGCCCAAGACCCACTTTGCAAACTGCGCCAGCGGAGTATAGTAATATCACAATTTTTGGTTTCATGTTTTATTTCTTTATGTAGTTATGAAGTATAAAGTAGGAATAGAAAGAAAGATTTTTTTTCGTATTGTAATTAAAAAACAGTAATTACGAAATTTTCGATTGTAAGTTCTATTTGAACAACCATAGAAAATAAAAACAAAATCTTAATCGACTTTACTCAACCCATATCTAGTGAATTGTCATACTAAACTATCTTAAATAGACACACTATAACTTAAATTGATGACTTGCAGATCAGTCCCTCTTCGCATATGTAAAGCAGATCAGTGAACCGGCTCGCAGCTAAGCTCAATACCTGCAGTTATGATTTGCATTTCGAGTTGCGAACTGTGGGTCGCCAGGAAGCTCGCGGCTCGACGACTCATAATGTTAAAGGACATCGCGATGAGCCGTGAGCTGCCAATTTAGTTGCGGATCTGCAACTCAACGGTTCGAGAACGGTTTCAGCGGTTCAAAAGTTAAGATATGTTACTAATACTGACTTACTCTTCCCTCTAAATGACATGATTCTGTTTTGTGTGTTTGTACGACTTTAAAAGAATATAAACCATTGTATTAATAAAATTGACACGTTTGAAATGAACACTATGCTATTTACGATATCAGAAGATACGATGCTAATAGATCTTAAAACAAAGTCCTTCCATAGACAAAGTTCCCATACATTGAGAACAAGAGATTTGTTTTATTTCCTTTTTGTGGTCGTAAACTTTCCAACAAGAAATGAATGAAAAAAGGCGTCTCTAAAACTCCAAATGAACGGTTTCGGTAACTTCCGCCCGAGGTGACCGCTGGCGACGAGGGTATTAGGGTGCAAAGATACGGACAGAGAAATACATCGCGAGGCTCAGTTAAATAAATTAATTGTCTAGAATTTACTTTTCGTATTTTAATAACCATTTCCCGATCTAACAAATTAGAAATAAGTAATAACATTATCTTAAAAATGTCTCATCAAGAATGAAACTTGTTTTAATTACTTAATAATTTCCTCTGAACAACATAACTGATGCATGTGGCTCAAAGGGGTAGGCAGAGACAAATTTCTCCCAGTATTTGTATAAGTAACAATCGAACTTAATACATGCAAGTTAATCAAGCAATAATAAGCTGAGAACACTATCCACTAAGCTATTAGGGTTATAAGTGCCTCCGTGGCGCAATTGGCTAGCGCGTTCGGCTGTTAACCGAAAGGTTGGTGGTTCGAGCCCACCCGGGGGCGATATTTTTTGTCTAAACGACCTAGGACCAAGGATAATTTCACAATATTCGATAGGAAATTGTTACGCCCTTGTACTTATAGAAAACCACCAAATGATTTAAATAAGCGCAATCTAATTTAAGAGTAAAATATATTAAGTTAAAGAAAATAATTAGTTGTAATATGGAGCTTCGACTCCACGCCATTCTATAAAGTCGGCGTGAAGAATGTTATTAAGTGGGTGAACTGAAAAAACAAAAATATCTCTATCTATCCACCTCGGACGTGATAATTAGAGATATACGGTCTCGAGACAGCGTCACGGACAGGCCGGCTAATATTTATATCTTAAGATCGACCGTCCGTTTTAGTGGAGTAATTTAGTAGTCGGAGACCTTTATTGTCCTGATGTTTGCGTTAAAATCGAATTCCTTCATTTTACGATTCTTTGGTTTATTTGCTCTTTGATTATTAAGAAGAAAAATAATGATATGTCTTATACTTTAAGATTGTTATAAATATAATATACACCAAAATAAAAAATAACTGTAAAGAATTTGAAAAGTCAACGTGTCAAGTCCAGAGTAATCAATTTGTTTTTAAAAGAAACTTAAAAATACCAAACATTCTTACTTCTTATAAATTGTTTTAAAAATTACAATATTTTTCTATTTAGATTTGAATTATTATTAATAGACTAAAAATAAAACATAAAATAAAGTCTGTCAACATAATACATAAAACAATGAAGTGAAAAATCAGAACGGACTACGTCATCGAAGTCGCCATTACAGTGTGAATTTTGATATATAGTATGGACGCTATATTTCAAGTACTGATTCGTCTTATTATCATGAAATTATAAAAAAAAAATATCAAGTGTTTAGTGTGTTAAAATTGCATATAAAACTAAATCAAAATGGAACATAGATTCATAACGAGCCGGGAGTTCTGTTGAGCTGAATTAATGTAAGTAAATAAAAATTTTAAAGTGGAATAATCTATTTAAAACTTTACTAATTTCAAGTTTGTTAAAAGTTATTTTTAAGTAAGTTTCATACTAAAAATACGCATCAAATCGTTATTATCGATACCTTCTTACTTATTACAATTAACTTGATTATTAACATCTTTGAAGATGTTTCATAAAATTCTGTTTTATAATACGTCTATCAAATAAGGACTGTAACATACTGTAATATACGTAACATAAATTAATGAATACGATACATTTGAAAATAGATAAGCCGCTGGTTAATATCCATAAATATTTGAATTTATTAGCATTTAAAATATAACCTGACAATTAATACTCCTGTCGGAGTATTCAGAAGCTGGAAACATAATATTCGTTGTAACAGAAACGTACATAGTGAAAGTACATTGTCCAATACATAGTTTGTTCATGCACTTATCCTGTAAAATATTTATAAAAATTTCTGTTTAAAACATATGTTTTAAACGAGGATTTTGGTCTTAGAAAACGTGTGCTCATGTCATTAATTTTGAACTACCTACATATATGTTAAAACATAACTGATGAGATTTTTTGCAAAATATCTTTTATATACCTCAAAACGTATTGATAAAGACGCGGTAAATAAATTCTGTGTAATAATTAATTACACTTCGATTGTTTTTTTAAGTTTTTTTTTTAACACATGAAACAAATGATGATAAAATGTAATATTCAATAAATTGTGACGCGTGTCGGTACACACTATTGTATGAAATATTACAAATAGCCTTTAAACTTGATAACGTCATGACTAATCGGCGCGGGAATCGGCAGAATTAATGAAAAAAACACAATATACACAGCCGCGGTGTCGGATGCCTCTGTAGGGTTTCCAATAAAGCCTATTTCAATTTATTAGCTTGCTTTTAATGTAACGACGCGTAGAAAAGTTGTTACAAAAACATTTCAAGATATTAATAATTATTTATTATTTTATTATTAACTAGCTGTCGCCCGCAACTCCGTCTGCGCGGGAATAACAAAAAATATAAATAGTAGCCTATGTGTTCCAGACTATGTTCTATATGTGCGCCAAATTTCATCGAGATCCGTTCAGCTGTTCTGGAGATGTTTTTAAACAAACATCCGTACATACATCTAAACATTCGTATTTATTATATAATATTAATAAGATCTCAACTCCTTTAATGAATAAATGAGTATATTTTTTGTTAAAGGAGCGCATCTCGGAACATGGATTGCTCGCCGATCCGTGGGCCGATTCAGATGCTGCTGGAGAGGCGTCATGGTCCTGAAGCTGCGAGTTTCAAACAGTCGGCGCAAGAGAGGCGGCGTTGGCGATCCCTGGATGCCAAGACTGAATTTGGTTCCTTCGTCATATTAGTAAGTATACTTTGTTTCTTTGTCTTTAAGTGAATGGCACGAAACAATGACAAGCACAGAAGTACTATTTTATTTCTGAAAGGAACTCCCCGCTGTGTTCGGTTTGTTCTCTAATATCCTTCTAACCTTAAATAAAGGTCCGAACAACTTTGAAAGTATGACATTGATAAAAATAAAATTCCGAGAACACTTTCGTGCGTGACAGTACCTACCCGTAAACAACACTGATCTTCGTTTTTGGATGAAAAAAGTATCATGTAAGGAGAACCCAGCTGAGCAATATTTATGACTTTATATAGTCCTAACTTATCGCACTTATGGGCATCATATTATTCTTTCTTCTTCTGTCTGCCCCCTGTTATCTTCTATTGCGTTTCTCCTTGCTGTGAGAATTGTTTGATTTTTTTTTTATAGATTTCGTAGTCGGTAGGCAAGAAATACATTTAAATTACTGTTAAAATAATTTAATCCTTAAGTGTTAGTTTAGATTTTAAGCAAATTAATAATTCGAGACAAGTTTATTAAACTTTGGTTAAATCGATTAATAAGTGGTCCACCTTAGTCTAGATTTTATATGAGAAATCTACATTTAGCGTCTACCTTAGAGACCAATACTGACTTTATGGTTAACGCCGACTCGTCAAAACACGCAACACCAACGCCGCGGCCAACTCGTCGCCTC